TTTTTGGTTTTTCTCCGGTACCGGGAACCGAACTCACGACCTTGCGCTTGCCAGGCAGGCGCTTTTGCCGCTGAGCTAAATCCCCAGCCCCTAAATACCAATATATCTTTTTTTTTTTTGGTTTTTCTCTGGTAGCGGGAACCGAACTCACGACCTTGCGCTTGCCAGGCAGGCGCTTTTGCAGCTGAGCTAAATCCCCAGCCCCTACACTAGACTGATTTTAGACAAAGTGCAAGGTAGTTCCATGGAAAATATTCTTTCAACAATGGGTGCTGGAACAATTGGATATCCACATTTAAAAAAAAAAAAAAAAAAAAAAAAGAACCACTGATACATACTTTAAACCATATACAAAACAGATCTTATCTGTAAAACCTAATACAATAAAACTTTTGAAAAATCTTGCATTAGTTAACAATTTTGAAATAAAACACTAAAACCATGACCCATGAAAGAAAAAAATGGAAATTTGGACTTTATTAAAATTAAAATTTTCTACTCTTCAAAAGGCAATGTTAGCATAATAAACAGGCAAGTCACAATTTGGTTAAAAATATTTATATATCAGTATCTGATAATTTTTCTATTTGGAATAAATAAAACTCAAAGCTCAGTAATAAAACAACCAAATTTTTAAAATGAGCAAAATCTTTTAACAGGCATGTCACCAAAGGAGATATAATAAAGCAAATAAACAGATGAAAAAATCCTCCACAGCGTTAGTCAGCAGGGAAATGTAACTGAAATGGTAGCTAGATCCTCTGCATCCCTATTAGAATGCTGAAAGAGAGAATGCTATGCAATGCTGTGTAATGGTACAACCACCCTGGAAATCAGTTTGGCAGAATATGATAAACACAAAAACAACCTACGCTGATGGTCCAGGCTTTCCACCCTAGGAATTTACTCAAGAGAAACAAAAATGTATGCCTATCTAAATTCTTGTGCACAAATACTCACAGAACATTAATTTGCAGTAGCTGATAACTAGAGAAAACTCAACTGACCTTCAACAGGTGGAGGACAAAAACTGAAGTGTAGCTATGCAGTGGAATACTACTCCACTAGAAGAAGGCATGAATATTGATACATAAGCTCAAATGGTAGTTATGTAGAACAGAGGAAGCGAGGCAGACAAAAATAGTATCTGCTGCAAGATTTAATTTAGGTATAATTCTAAAAACTTTAAAAGAATCTATAATGAAAAAGAAAAACCGATTGCTGAGGAAAGAGACAAACAAAGGAGGAAGGAAGCCTTAACAAGAGGTCCCAAGGAAATTTCTTTGGTGGCAAAATCCCTGACCTGGGAAGTCGCGGAAGATGTTGTCACAGTATACACATACATCCAAACACAGGAAGGGTCAGCAAGGGGCCAGACTTTCTCTAAATGTCCTAAATTCAGGATGTGAAAAGTAGAAGGTGACATCCAAAGCATGGGTAACCGCTGGAGCAAAAGCAGGGCCAGAAGAGCTGGCCTGCACACAGGAAGCAGAGCTGTGGGGAGCTAGGCGGAGCCACAGTGCCTGAGAGAGGTAGGGAAAGTCCTCAGAAGCCCTCACAGCTCTGTGCCGCCTACCTAGCAGGGGCTGCAGTGGATGCTAGCAAGAGCTGAAAAAGAGGTGTCCTCCCAGTGCCGAGGCTGCTCAGCTGGCAGTTAAGTAGGCTCTAGTAAAACATGTGGAGGCCAAGTGCGGGTGGCAAAGGTCTGCCTGGGCCATCACTGTGAGACAGAGAAAGGAAGCGATGGTTGCCATGGATTTTCCGGCCCTGGACCAAAGCCAGGAAACCAAGGACAAGGTTAAAGTTAACAAAGCATGAAGTTATAGGAAGTGGGTGCAATGGTAATACACCCACCACCAACAAGTAATTTGGGAAAATTTGGAAGAGCAATGAGATTTAGTAACAATAACATATATACCTGATAAGGGTCTGATGAATGAATGACTACATGCCTTAAATACAGTGGGTAGAAAGAAAAAAAAAAAGAGATGGAAAAAATGACTTTCTTCTTTCTGAACTCTAATAGGGAAATTGCTAGCAGAATAGGCTACCCATTGCTCTAATGCTGAGCCATGAACCCTGAGCTATTTCCTCAGTGGAATACGACATCCAAAGAGTAAGAGACAGGGCAACAGAGAGACTGGGGCATATACAGGGTAAAGTCCCTGAAAGTGAAGAACCTGAAAGGAAACAAGAGGAGACTGAGCACAGAAAAGAGTTGGGCAGTGACAGCCATTGTGTGCTCACCCTCTCTCAGGCACTGTTCCAGGCACATTTTACAGATCATCACTAGAGGCTGTTATTCCATTTTAAAGCCAATTAGCAGGTGTTATTCTATTTTAAAGTTGGAACAAAGAGATATGTTTATTTTACATTTTCAGTAAACACTGCCTAAACATATTTTATAAAGAGAAAAACAATTATATTTTTCAGTGGAAATCACCAAAGGTAGCATACAACTTTTAGCTTGAAGAGTTCCTATAACAGTAATTTTCCATTATTAAACACCTTACAATGAAAGATAGATTTTATTTCACTATAATCTAGATTCAAAGCTGGCAGAGGACTTGGGCAGTGAGACAGGGTTGCCCTCTCTTCAAAGAGGCCTCTGGCCCCTGCCTGAGCAGACTCCTGTCCTGCTCACTGTCTATCACACACTGTCTTCATTGCACTTGTCACGATCTGAAGACTGCCTGCCTTACCTATTTACATGATCATAATCTCTGTCCCTGCCCGAGACGCAACACTGGTAAAAATCCTTCTGCTGGATCCTCACGGGGACCTCGGCTTGCTGCGCCCTGCCCTCCAGAAGGATTTGCAGCTGCATTAATGCCAATCCTAGAAACTCACTTGTTTCCGGGTCTTGTGTTTTGCAGACTGAATCCTTTGATCCATCTCCTCTTCGGTCTGGTTCTGGGCTCTGAAATTTGAAAGGAGGCACACCTTTTCATTATGTACCTGGACCAGAAATGGAAGAGAAACTTCACACTGCATCTTACAAATAAGAAACACACCATTCTTTATAACATTTCTCATTCCTTTCATGTAATAATATTGGCAATTTGACCATTTGGGTGTAAAATAACATTAAAAATAGATGTTCTAAGTGAAATAAATTAGATTGAGTGATAGTAAATTAGACTGTGGCAAAGAATAGTTAAAATTACCAAATCACTGGGAGATTCTCAAATTCTGAAATTCTCATTAGCTACCATAACCGAGTTACACATCTGGACCAAAGAAAAAAACTGCCAGAAAGATGGTTACATATAATTTGAAAACTCTATTATGTGAAATTCACAATGCTATATGGTAAAATAAGAAGACAAAAAAGATTTCAGGGATTATTTCTAGTCAGTTCCCCAAAGTTCTGTAATGTGGATAGTTATCTTTCAGAAAATTTCCATTTCTTTTGTTAATGTAATTACTAAATCACACATCTATGGAAGGAGGGAGGCAGGAGGGCGGGGAGGAGACAAAAAGAGAATTAACATGTTTTATGGATGTGTGCCAACTCCCCACAGCGAATGCAATCATTATGCACTGCAGACAGGTACTGATTATAGAAAACAGAAATATAAAAAAGAGCCTGGAAAAGGAAAAAAAGTGAGAAATGGGAAAACTGGTGAGAGGAATTTCAGGACTATTTTATTTTACTAGCCACTGTCTATGAAACTTAAACCATCAAAAAGTGACAGACAGCACACTCCTGAGAAGATGTTTTCCTTTTGGGCTCATGACCTTCGTGTCCAGCTATTCAACCTTTCACGTGCACAGGCCTTGCCTGTCAACTTTACTGTAAGTGACCTGACAGCTGCCACCACCGGTCCACAGTCGACCCCCTGGAGCAGTGACAACACACTGCTTTTACAAAGAGGATGGCAGGCCTTAGATATAGGGCCTTGCATCTTGTAGTTTGATGGCCTCTGGTGTGTACCATCCTACCTGTTTTCAACTTACTCTTTCATAGCACAATCTGTGTATGCGTTTAACTGCTACATAAAACTTCACACAAATGCTGTGGGGGAAAAAAAAGACCCCAAAGTAAAACTGCGAGTATCATCACAATTTTCTGATCCTGTTTACTGCTTACTTTATACCCTACCCAAGATGTTATATTAACCAATTTTAGCTAATTAGCTAGTTTATCAATACCTGTTATTTGAAGTCTAGAACTTATATATCTACACAGCAATGTTTTTGTTGCTAAATCTGAGACTATAAATAGAAATACTATACATCCTTTCTCTCTTTATTATGATCATTCTTTCCAGCTCTTCTTTTAGATATCCAGTTCCAAAATACTGGGATTGATCTGGAATGTTTTGTCTTTCACACTTCTGAGCAACTCCATGTGTGTGTGTGTGTGTGTGTGTGTGTGTGTGTAAACTGCTCCTTCCAAGACACTGGGAACCCAGCTGGCAGGTCAAGTGCAGTGTAAAAAGTCTAACACTCTCCCTCAGGCAAGAGCAAGTAAGTAGGGGTGTTTTTTGTCTAGGAATGCAAGGAATAGTCCATACTCTAGAACTGTAAGAAGTGTTTTAAACTGTGGTGAGGGCTTTGCTAGCAAAAAACGGGTCCCTTAGGAGACCCCAGGCTGAGGAGAAAGCCTGGCTCTGGGTTCCCCAAGATAGAAAAAGGGAGGTGGAGAAAGACCAACACAGATCAACATGAAGTGACAGATCCACGCCACTGCGTGAGTCACCTGGATGGCAATAAGAGCATAAAGAACACCATTCTTTTTTTTCTCCCCTGTAGGTTTACCAACACAGACAATTTTTACAAGCCATAGCTGGCTTACATAAGACATTTTATTGCTTTTAAGAATCACTGAGTACAAAAGAGGAGATTATATGTGTTGTAGTCTGGGCTGTAAGACACAGACAGACCCAGAGATGGATGACTTTTGTGTGGATCTGTGTATGTTCACCTGTGCATGTGCCTAAGTTCATCTGTTTAATAGACACTCAGTGAATATTCTGACACATCAGTATGTGTATTTGCTTGTCACACTTCAAAGGGGGCCAACTCTGGAGCTGTACTCCATGTCCTACAATGCCTTGCAGAATTTGGAGTTCTGACGACCTCTCTCTTGGAAGCCTCCTAGAGGGCAAATCTGAGGGCAACGGATACTGAAATGTTCCTATGAAATCTACTATGAATATTTCAACTCTTGCTTGACTCTAGCACTACAAGAATAGCTCTATTTAGCACCCAAATTTTGAAACATTTTCTCTTCTGATTTGTAAGTCCTTTCAGTTACTCCAAAGACTTGGTGAGATCATTTCAATACCTTGCTGAGAGGAAGAATGAGGAGAGAGAGAAGTCACAGACAAGTGGGCCCAAAGCTGTCATCTGCCCCCAAGCAGGGAGCATTCTATCAAAGGCCCTGTGTTTGCAAGTTCTGGGTGGAGAACCGCAGAGCACTGCTAGTGGACCACACAGATGCAAGGAGCCAACACTGACACACGGTGAAGTGTGGTTCCATGTGGGCTATATGCTTCCAAGGTTTGTTCTTCCAAATGAACTGTTCAATCTGTGCACGGGCTAATTATGATTCAAAACAGCTGTCTACATTAAATATTTTTCAGAAATCCATGAGGGTACAGTCATTTCATTTAGTGATTCAAGACACAGAAGGCTGCTGTCATCCCTCCCACAGACCTAAAGATAAATACTGGTTGCTAGTGATTCGTATTTGTTAGCAGAAAAGGAAACCCTCCACTGACACTGTCCCATGTAACTTTCATGTACAATGGATCCTTCTTTGCCTTTGTCATTCACTGATGCCCAATAGCATGCAAAACCTAGAACCCAGTTCTATAACAGGAACCTGAATGTCAGAGAAAGCTGCTAGTAACCTTCCTCAGAGTCCCCATTTAACAGTCCACTGCACAACAACATCCAGAGACGGACATCTCAGGAGGTTCCCTCACTTTTGGCAATTTATAAAATGACAACAAAACCTAAGAATTTGTACATTTTCTTGGGTTACCTGTTGGTCCTGGCCTTAACAGAGAATTTCAGGAATAGTTTGCAGTGATGTCCTTAAATAATTTTCAGACAATGTCTGGTCACAGAAAATATGTTATTTGGTTAAACCCTGGGCCAGGACTGTCAGAATATTCATCTATCCTGACTCTCCTTGCAGGGAACTCCTGGAGATTTGCCTTCCCAAATCCTCAGTGGGTCAGTGCCAGCCCTGTGGCCAGTTTTGGGGAATGGGATGGGAGAGGGAAAGGCCAGGGATTATCAATCACTCTACTTCCTGCTTGCCCCTAGAATCCTTTGCAATCCTCAGCTCAGAGTGTCTCTGTCTCTGTCCCCCACCCTCCTCCCATCTTCTTTGTTCCCACTTCCCTCCCTTCCTCATCCTTATCTTTGTGGCTAAAATGAAGAAGTCCAGTATGGCAAAGCCACAAAAATTGAACACACTTGGATCCCCAAATCCCCATATGGAGAGAAACCATACGATCCTTCTGACTGCAGTTGTTCTGTCCCACACATAGAAGAAGAGAAAGAAATCTGCACTGCCCTGAGCCACTGAGATAGGGAAGTTTTTTGCTGTACTAGCTCAGCTCAGAAAGCTAGATAATAGGTTCCCGTTTGGGTATGTTACTATCCTCCTCTCAAATGAAAATATTTCCTTATCTCCTTACTTGATAGCTTCATATTAACTAAGTAATAAAACTTTTATGATCAGGGTAAGTCCTTACTATCTATCTACCACCTATTCTCTTTAAGAGGGAACAAAAGATTAAGATGAAGCATTTATACACTGAACCGGATTTATGGAACACCTTATACATGCAGTCTAGGCACTGATTTAAACACTTACATCTATCAGTCCTTTACTTTTCATGACAACCCCAAAAAGTTATAACTAGTATCTTCCGGAGGCAGACAAAGAGGAAGTATCATGCTAGTAGCTGAACTAGGATTCCAACTCAGTCCACTGGGCTCCAGAGTCCGGCTCTCTAGAGAGGAACCAGATCTCCATGCCCAAACTAACAGTTCAATTGATTGTCAGGGTCCAAAGAAAATTTGATGTAACCAAAAGATTCCTTTGGAGGAAAACATGCATTTTTGCTATTAGGACTGTTCACATTTATAAACAGACTCCTTGAGAGAATGAAAGCATAACTATGATTGAGACAACCATATGAAATTCAGTGTACTTAATGCAAATTGGGGAAAGCACTATGGTACACAGTGAGATAGACGCCCACTCTCCACCATGCCCCTTTCTGCTTCACTTGATTTGTAATTATGAAACTAGAAAGTCATGCAATCATGTGGACAGACTGCAGCATAATTCACAAGTGAATCTCACACATGATGAAGAAATGCTGACAGCCTCAGAAGAAAACTCATATCATGCATTTAATGAGTTAACAGGTTAAGACCTGGGAGTCTGTCTTCTGTACCTCTGTGGTGATCACAAAACTTTATTTTTCATCTAGTTTATTCTTTAGCATGTTATAGTAAGTGTCTCCTGACTGTACAACAGATATACCTGGATTTTGAGGCCAGGAAGGGGTTTTTTTTGACAGTGAGGGGTTAGGGTTAATTTACACTATACTTTTAATAGATGAATGGTCCTGAATGAAGGACTTTGGTAGTTTTTATCTCAGAGGGCTCGTATTAGGATAAAGTGGTTTGGGTTTTATTTTATTCATTTTCTGAGAAAGTTCATTTTTGTTCATTGTTATGGTTTGTGTCTGTGTGTCCCCTCAAAGCCTCATGCGGTCATCGGGCAGGCTTTTAGAGTTTGATTGATTATGGGTGTGAGAGCTACACCCGCCCTAGGGTGGATAGTTTGCATATGTAAAGGAGAGGAAAAGGCTGCTTGAGGCCATTCCTGGCTTTTGTGTTGTTGCTTTGCTGTGTTCTGCGGCCATGAGCTGTAGCCTTCTGCCA